CTTCCGTGCTACCCAGCAGGTCATTCCCTAGGCTGTAGGTGTGCTGGACATTTTTCCTCCCTAGGTGCAGCACTTTGCATTTCTCCTTGTTGAACTGCATTCTGTTGTTTTCTGCCCACTTGTCCAACCTGTCCAGGTCTGCTTGCAGCTGTTCCCTGCCCTCCGGCGTGTCCACTTCTCCCCATAGCTTTGTGTCATCTGCATACGGGGTACATAGACCCCAGCCCCAGAGATGGGCAGTTGAGAAGCCCAGAGAAGGGGGCATTGTTAAGCAGCCCCAGTGCAGGTGTGGCGAGCCCCAGAGAAGGGGGCCGCCTTGTGGTGAGCCCGAGAGACAGGGCGGCGTACGGAGAGGGCCCCGAGAGACAGGGCGACATAGACTCGAGAGAAGGGCATGGGAAGAGAAAGAGAAAAGAGAGAGAGAGAGAGACGGGACTGCAGACAGCCCAAGTGCCATAGAGGGTGTGAAGACAGACAGAGGGACAGAACAACGTCCATTACATCTGCGAGGCTTGGGGCGTGGTATTGGGGTGGTAGGAGCCACGCATAGCCCATACGGCTTGGGTGCATGGGACACCCATGACAGGAGAACCGTGGCCAAGAGGACAGAAGGTAGCCTCCCTATAAAGAAAATATATACAATCAAAGACGTGGTGGGCGAGAATCGGAGGGTGCAAGAAGGCTGCTTGGCACAGTGAAGGAGGCAGCAGGGGAGAGCACGGTGACTCTGACGTCCCTCCTGTTATACAAAAGTATATGGCTTCTTACAAATTTAACGCAGATTTTCATAGACGCAGGTTTGGTTTCTAAATGTGCACATGCTTACTTCGCAGTAACCTCCCTAATCCTGAGTAAATTTGCTACCTGAAAATGAAAGTAGCAAAGTTACTCGGGATTAGTAATGGCACATTTAGCACTCATGTAGATTTGGCTCCCGGTCAGTCATCCACCAGGGGGCAGGAGATAGCTCCCTACCCCCTGGAGCGGCCAGGAGCCCAGGAGAGGGCTATGTACCCCTGTCCCAGCAGCAGGGAGCTCCAAGCCCCTTCCTCCCAAATCACAATCAAGGAGTGGGGACTGGGAGACCCTCATCTCTCAGCCTGAGCTCTGCAGTCACAGGGCTCAGGTTGAGAGACCCTTATCTCCCAGCCTGAAACCCACAACAGCAAAGCTTAGGCTGGGAGACAAGGATCTTCCAGCTCTAGCCCTGCAACTGCTGGGACCTCCAAGCTGGTGTGGGCAGGGGAGCCTGTTCCCTACCCAGCTCTGCAATTGTACAGCTGGGGCTGGGAACAGGCTTGGAGCTTATTCCCAGCCCCCACTCCACAACTGCAATTGCTGAGAGCTCCCTGCATGGGGACAGTTCCCTGCCCAGCCTGGAGCTGACTGGTACCTGCCCCTGACCGGGACAGTTCCCAGCCAGCCCTAGGCTTTGCAGGGAAGCATTTGCAGCCTGAAGGTGGCTGGACACTATCCTGTTTCAGGCAGTCCCCAGCCAGCTCCAGGCTGCACATGCAGACTTCCCCCCAAATCCCAGGGCTGGCTTGGAACTGTCCTGGTCAGGGGCAGGTCCCAGCCCTGTGCCCTGACCAGGTGATCAAGGCATGGGGCTTGGAAGGAGCTGCAGGAGTGGGGTAGGTCCCAGTTCTGTACTCCATCCACCAGTGGGGCAGCTACCAGTGGGGCAGGGAGCTGGGCCCTGCCCCTCCCCTGCAGCTCTTTCCAAGCCCCATATCTGCTCCCTAATCCCCACATATGTAGATGCCTGCCCAAAAACCCTTAATCCGGAGTAGTTTACACTGGAGTAAATGCATGTGTAGACACGCCCACTCTGTCCCAGGGAAGTAGGTTTGGCAAAGCTGCCATTCCTGAGCTCTGACCTCTTGTCTACAAGACTTGTTTGCATGGAGAAGGTTACATGCTTTTAGAGGTAGGGAACATTATAATCACAGCAACCCCCAAGCTGGGCCCCATGATCTGTGGCTTCAGTCTGCTCTGAGTAGACAGATGATGGTTACATGAACCTACATATCCAGAAACAAATAGCTTCATCAGCATCAGGTTCATGTCCTCAGAGATTATTTTTCTTTGCTCTGTTGTTAAATGTTAAACAGAGTGCAGTGCACTTAATGCTGTTCAGTAGTATAAATAAGTGTAAGAAGCAGCACAGATAAAACAAGTGGGAGCCTTCTGAGTGCATTGTAAGTACTGTATTAATTACTCCATAAGGACTAAGTTAATTTAGAAATGATACCAAGCTGCCTGGGTACAGATACATGGGAGGACAAGATTAGGATTCAAAATGTCCATGATTAACAGGAAAATGGTCTGAAATATGGGCAGAGATTCTGGAGAGTGGGAAGGATGGGTGAGGCGGAATTGTGCCTTGCACTGGAGATGGCAGTGGGGAGGGGGTTATGAGAGGGAGGCAAGCTCCAATGAGTCTTACCTGACCCTGGAGACTTGAAGGCCCTGGCTAATGCTATCTCAATGCAGACTCTCTATGGCTACCATTCTGGCTGCCTGTTGAAGTTGGCTCCTGGAATGAAATAAATTGGATGATATTCAGTAAGGGTTATAGCAAAATACTGTTCTTAGGACAGAGCAATTAAATGCAGAAATACAAAATGGGAAGTAATTGCCTAGGCTACAGTACTGCAAAAGAGGACCTCAGGTTTACAGTGGACCATAAACTGAATCTGAGCCAACAAGTCTAATATTGTTGCAATATAAGTGAGTAGCACACTGAGATCTGTCAAAAGCAGTGTTATATGCAAGTCACAGGAATTTGTTTTTCCATTCTATTCAGCTCTGGTTTCACTTACAGTGTCTTACAGTACTTACAATACTGTTCAGTTCGGGGCATCATAAATCAAGAAAGGTATACTGAGTTGGAAAGAATGCATAACAGAGGAACCAAATGATTAGAAGTCTGGAAAACTTGATGCATGAGAAAAGGATGGAGGAATGGAGATGATGTAGTCTGGAGAAGAGGAGACTGAGGCAGGACTTGATGACAGTTTCAAATACAGAAAGGGTTTGTAGAAAGAGGATGCTGATCAACCATTCTCTGAGTCCACAGGAAATAGGACAAGCAGTAAGGACTAAAGTTGCAAAAAGGAGATTTAGGTTGGATATTATAATGAATTTTCTAACTCGGAGCATGGTTAATCATAAGAATATATTACCAGGCCTGGGTCCCAAACACTAGAAGTTTTTATTTGCAGTTTGACAAGCATTTGCCTGCAATGATTTAGACAGGAAGGATCCTGCCTGAAGCACTGGGTTGGAACAGATGATCTCTAAAGTCATTTGTGGCTTTATGATCTTTGAATCCATGTATCTATGGAGAATGTAGTGTATGTCATTTTTTTCAACCTTGTGTAGATGATTTTAATGCCTATAGAGGATCATCTATTCTGTAGACCAAGATCTGTCTAATGCAACCATGTCAGAGAAGAATAGAATGGGTCTTCTAATAAGGAAGCAAGTTGACTTAGCCAAATATTAAATTTCAAACCTTGGAGATAGTTTATTGCAATCCCAGAAACTATGGCTGTACTTCAGTGTGGTTTTTTCCTTCCTTTTTTTCCTCTCTCATTGGCTCTAAAACATGCTTAGTTTACAAAGGAAGACAATTTCCCTTTGATTTTGTAAACTGCCAGCCTGTAAAGCTAACACAGGTCTGAGAATCAGGCTGAAAGTAGTCTCTTCTGGGGCAGTTTATCACACAAGTCACATCACAGTAGCGGGGAAGGGCTGGGGAGGAACCTGCTAAGTATAAACACTGCATTCTGGTCCTGCAGGGGGTGTAGTGGTGATGTGCTGTCATGGGAAGATCTAGGATTTTGAAAAGGGAAGTGCAGATGTTGAGGTGCATCATCACATATAAAACCAGACATATTTTTCTCCAATTAAAAATAAACTAGATGCTTTACTAATATGTTAGGGGCCTAGGCCCACATTATACAGTTTAAGATTAAAGCAAAAATGAAAATAACTTCATCTGAATGAGTTAAAAATAAATCTGCAGGGCTTTGAAATATGAGCTTCACTACCAGGAGCAGCAAACAGCAGAATTGCAGAACAAAGGATAGTTTGATTGGTGAAAACATCAACACCATTAAAAAGAAGACAGGGTTCTGAACACCTAAGGAATGAAGAGTTTACAATGCATCAGGTAGATTATAATGAGCCATGAAGTCAAGTGACTCCCTCAGCACCACTTCACTAGAAATGCTGCCACTTCTAAGCAGCTGGTTTTCAACACTGGGTGGAGCAGGAACCAAAGTGAGGCGCACCTCCACCCCTCCCAGATCTGCCTGTGTGCTGCCATAGTGGTCCTAGGACCTCCTGTAGGCATAGTAAGTTGATCCAGAAAAGGACTAAGTTACCTAATTACCAATACAGGCATTTAAGTCCAAAATGTTGATCTTCAAAACTACTCCTCAGTTGCCTCCTAATCCCGAGGCAGCTAAAGTTTCTATATTTTGACAATAAAGGTTCCTAAATACCTGGTACTGGGTATGCTGTGAACCAGCTAAATCCTGAGATGGCCAAGCTTGTTCACAGCTAAGGGCCAACAGGATTCATATATTAAGCATTCCTCCACCTTTCAGGCACTGATCCAATAGATATTCTCAGAGCTTTCATGGCAGATCTCATCATGCACAAAACACATTTAGAGGAGGAGACGGCAGAGTGATAAGTCCATGAAGGGCTAACATCCCAGGAAACATGCCAGAGAGGGCAAGGAAATAAACTATTCTGAAGTCCACTTATAAACAGGAAGCTTTAAGCATAAAGGTGCAGCATGGTGGGGGCCTCTTACACCACCCAGCACTGTGAAATATGCCTCCAAACAGCGCTCTAACATAAAAGATCATAAAAGGTCATAAATACACTTCAAAGCCATTTGACCATGTGTTCATTATTCAGTGCATACCATCAATATGAATTAATCTATCAACATCCAAGAGATAATATGTTACTTCATTGGGTTGCCTCATTTAAAGGATGAAAACAGTAGAAAAAAGCAAAACACACAGAAATGGGCAAACTGACAAAACTGTTGTTCATTTTGTTTGCTGCTTGTTTGCTCAGGAAGTGCACTGTGATGTAAATAAATTCAATATTGGTAAATGGCCCAAAGAGAAGTGTGAAGGGACCTTCCTACTTGTAAAGGTAAAGGAGCCAACTTCTGTACTACCTGCCTTATGCAACCAATTCCAGAGCAGTCAGCTTGCAGAAAAGGTGATGACTGGGTGCATGGATGTCCAATCTGACATTAGTGTAAAATGATACAACTCTATTCAGCACTGGTGACATTTCACCTGGTACTGCATCCACTGTGTATTCCACACTTAAAGAGATACATTGATGCACTGGAAAGAGTCCAGTGTAGACTAAAAAGAACAGGTCTGCAAGACATGATTTTCAAGGAAAGGTTAGAAGAATTGGGATTATTTAGGTATAGAGAAGAAAAAACAGAAGGGGATTTGACAACAATCTTCAAAATGATCAGAAGTCTATGAAACATGACTTGCAAGGAAAGATTAGAGGAACTGGGATTATTTAGTATGGAGAAGAAAAAACAGAGTGGGGTTTGATAAAGATCTTCAAATATAGTAAGCGTGCTTATAAAGAGAATGGTGGTAGACTATTCTCTGTGACCACAAAGAACAAGATAAGAAAAAACAACTGTAAATTGCAACAAGGAAATTTAGGTTGAATATCAGAATGAAATGTCTAACTATGAAGATGATTAATCACTGGAACAGACTAATCAAGGAAGTTGTGGAGTCTTCACCCCATGAAATTTTCATGAGTAGGTTCAACAAGCATTGGAGGAGATGGTTTAGACAGGGATGATCCTGCCTTGAGAAAGGAGTTCAATTATATGCATCCTGGGGTTCCTTCAGGCCCTATTCTTATGTGATCCTATGATTCTGTAACCAGGCCGCTCTAACTAATACAGTATAACCTCATGAATCCAGCATGCTCGGGACCAAGCACCTACCGGATATCTGAAAATGACAGATTTTTTTAAATCCGAGTGACAGGCAGTCCTGGAGCAGCCATGTGCAGTGCGGGGTGGTTAATGGCAGTGGCAGCCACTCCATTCAAGCTTTCCCCTTGCTGGGTGTTGGGGAGAGCAACAGCCAGTCCTGGAGCAGCCACTCCAGTGCCAGATTTCTGAGAATGCCAGATTTATTGTATACAGGTTTTACTGTATCAGGACCACATTGAAGATAAACCATTAAGCCATAACCAGCTCTTACAACTGCTTCCTTCTTTAATGAAAACATGAGCTCAGGAGTAATAGTGAACTGAAACCAAGATGTTTTTATTGGTACGGAAACTTTGGAAACATCTTAATTGGTGTAGCTGTGTTGCTATATGAAGACAAGATGTAGTTCACACATAGTATTATTAGCTAAATAAGAAAGTAATAAATAGCCAGCTGTAACATGTAGGCATGAGTGAATTTATCCAAAGACAAATAAAATGGCTGCTGACACAGTTGATCACAATATAACTGTTTCTTTATATCAATTTTCAGATGCAGGCAGAAAGCCTTTCCTTATGTTACTCAGTTGGCAAATTCCCATATTTTCTGACTTATGTTAGGGGCCTAGAAATCTACCTAACACTTTGTAAAGGGCATTTGCCAGTTTCAGTGTTTCCTGGCTATAAAATGACTCGTGCAGTCATGGGCAGGCTCCACCAGAAAAAAAAAAGGTGAAGGCCAGATCCTTTTTTTTCCCCCCACAGAGCCTGCCTGCCTCTCCCCCACTGCTCCCCCCCAGGCAGCATGCACCTGCTGGATCACCCAGATGGGCTGCTTAGGGGGTGCTGCTGCTGTGGAGGGCAGGACCAGGACCCTCCACAGCTCAGGGCCCTCTTGGCCCACTGTCGGCTCATCCCCCTGTCACAGGAGAGGCAAGCAGGCTCTGGGGAAAAAAAAAAAAAAAGGATCGGGAACCTGACCGCTTTTTTTTTTTTCCTGGAGCCTGCCCACATCTCCCATGGCCAGGGTACAAGCTGAGCTGAGCAATCCCTAAGCAGCAAAACCCCCAGTCATTCCCTCTGTGGTGGTGGTGCCCCCCGGGACCAATTACATGAGCTGCTAGTGGGCAAGTACTGCCTGGAGGGCACTGCCACCGCAGAGGGAAGGCAACTTGCCCCCCAGCCGCAGGAGAGGCAGGCAAGGTCTGGGAGAAAAAAAAGATCAGGCCACTTGCTGCTTTTTTCTTAGTGAAGCCTGCCTGCATGAGCTGCCACTGGGTCGCACAGCCTCTGAGCTGCACATGGCTTGGTGCTTCTCTCCATGGTAGTGCCCACCACCCCCCTGGGACCGGCTGAGTGTGGTGCAAGAAGGCAGGTGCCACCTGGGGGGGCACCACCACCATGGAGGGAAGGTCTGGGGTTCTACACAGCTCAGGGGCCACTTGGCCCCCCAGCAGCTTGCCCCCAGTTGTGGGAAATGCAGGTAAGGATTTTAAAAAAAAACCTAACCCTGTTCATCATTAGATTTATAATCATTGTGACCTGACGAGTTATTTTTCTCTAACTCCTGAGAGAGAGATGCCTTGAGTCTGATAGTTTAATAAGCTGACTAAGTGTTAACCACCTCCTTTCCTTTTCATAAGTTCCCAAATAATTCTCAGAGGCTTAAAGAAAACTGAGGAAAAGGGAGCTCTCTACTGCCTCAAATATAGAGAAAGTGAACAACAAGAACCTCCTGCCACTGAAAAATTATCATAAATCCGATAAATGTCACATAAAAATGGGAAAGGATGACCAATGTTCATTACACTACTCTCTAGATGCAATGACTACTTTGTTCTCTCTTCACAGAATAGTGCCAAAGGAAGATGAAGCCCACCCTCTATGTATTTATGTTAATTATTGCACTTCATACTGTTGTCCACTGCAATCACCAACCTGACCACCATGATGATGATCAGAAAGACATTGAGACCCAAAAGCCTTCTCCCCCCATTGAAGACCATGAAAGTAAGGCCATGCCCTGTCACAAGATAGCCCCTAGCAATGCTGACTTTGCTTTCAGATTCTATAGGCAAGCTGCATCAGAGGCAGCTGGCAAGAACGTTTTCTTCTCACCTGTGAGCATCTCCACTGCCTTTGCGATGCTGGCCCTTGGGGCTAGATCAACCACACTGGCTCAGATTCTGGAAGGCCTCACCTTTAACCTGACTGAGCTTGAGGAGAAGGAGATCCATGATGGTTTTCATCATCTCATCTGTATTCTGAACCGTCCTGACAGCAAGATTCAGCTGAGTATGGGAAATGCGGTTTTCATCGATGAGAAACTGAAACCACTCCAGAAGTTTTTGGATGACATCAAAAGCTTGTATGAAGCAGAAAGCTCTTCTAGTAACTTTCAGAATTCCTCAGAAACTGTGAAAGAGATCAATGATTACATCAAGAGGAAAACCCATGGGAAAATTGTTCAGTTAGTCAAGAGTCTTGATCCAAATACTGTAATGGTTCTTGTCAACTACATTTACTTTAAAGGTAAGGTGTGCTATGCAGATTTACATTCATTATAAAAAAAAAAAACAACCCCCCCCCCCCAAACTTTCTTAATGTGATTGACTTGAATCAAGATACATACAAGATGATGATGATTAGAATGTTATTTTTCAAAGGAATGATGTATTCAACATTATCAACCATATGAAATCCACTGCATTAAAAATGATCAGATCCAGAATTTTTTTCTAGAACAGGTTTCTGAAGTCCTTAGGCTTTCTAACATAAGAATCCACACTATTAGAAGTTCTAAGATTTCCCTCTGAAATTAATAGAAATTACAAGTGGTCAGCACATCTAAAATCTGGCTACCCATAGGTGATACCTAAATATGGATGTGGGGGAATATCTTTATGTGCCAGTGTTTGAAAAGAAAAATATTTTGCAATATATTTAGGGTAGAATGGAAATAAGCAGAAGAATAAATAATAAAGTTCAGATCCTCAAAGATATTTTAGACTCCTAACTCAATGAAACTTAGATAGCAGAAATGTTTTCGAGCAGTTAAGTCTAAATCTCTCAGCAAACTGTTGTAACCATAGGCACATCTCTGACATCGTAGTAAAAAACTAAGCCTGGTCATTTTTGCTTATATATTGGTATCTCGTATTGCCACATAATAAAAGACAACAGTACACAATCGATTATTTGCAAAACCTTAAGAAAATAGGGACAATTTCTTTAAAATTTTGGAGAATCTGGAACACCTACTGATGAGCAGCACTACAATCATTAGATGTTCTGGCAAGCTGTGTGTGTCAGGGGCTATAAGCCAGCTGCAGGTGGTAAGAACGTGATTATAGGCCTGCCTAGGAAGACTGGGCCAGCTGATGAGGATAACTGGCTGGACTAGGGGAAGTTAAAAGCTCCCTGGGAAGAGACCCAAGGGAGAGAAAAGTCAGTGAGGTAGAGGCTGCAGCACTGAATCAGAGCAGTCTCTCAGGGTCTGGGGAAGGACCGCAGGGTGTGAGTTAGCCCTTTATGGTTGCTATCTCTGTTTGTTTGATGATTAATGTTTTGTGTTCTATCCTGTAGGGCAAGTTTTCCCCAGATAATTAAAGACTGTGTTGTGCAAATGGACAACCTACTATAGTTGTCTATATTAAACAGACAACACAATGCTTCATGTTCCACAAATAGTATTCAGAACGTATGAATGAATCATGAAGCATTGATTGGCATGATTTTAAGGCCTGGAAATCAACCTGTTGCAAACAAAATCTATTCAGTGGAGAAGTAATCACATCAAAGCTATGAAAGCTGAATACAAACTGGCATCTCAGGCATCCTGTATGAAGTGTGGAGCAATTCTTCTCCCTATAGCATTGATTGGCATAAATAGAGACCTGGTAGCAATTTACTAGAAATTAGAAGCAAGTGTAATCTATTTTATTATAACCCTCTAAACAAGATTAAATAAGACTGTGAATCACAGACATTGCCCTTATTTACAGCCAAATTCATTGCCTAATGCAAATTAGGAAGCAAATGAAAAATGGCTAACTCAGAAGTTCTGACTACAGCTTTGCTATAAACCAGATGCATGTCCTATAGCTTGTCTCATTACTATATTGTGCATTGGTTTCTAACTCTGGACTGTGATATTCTTTCAGAAAGTATTCTGAAATTTAGTCTGTTGTTCTTTTTAAAGATTTTTCAAGTTCTTAAATCTACAGAATCCCCCCAAAAATCAAGCAATAAAACTATTATAAATAATAATTATAAGAACATAAAAAAGGCAAATAACAATCATTATGTCAACCTTCTGATGATATTGCTTGTGAAAAAGGAAGCTCAGCCTATTATTCACATCTAGAGGGAATTCTGAGATTTGCAATTGTTACATTCTATTTTTTATTTATTTTTACAATTTGGATTCATTTGAATCTATAATATACTAGAGAGTCTATTTTTTAAGAACTTGTGCCTGTCCCACGCAGTCTCATTGGGAGCTAGATGCTCCTTATTTTTATTCACCTGAAGCCACAGAAAGAAAGCAAATAAAACAGGAGGAAAATCTCAGATGAGATGCCATTGAAAAGGAAAAATCTCTTGACCATTAGAAGCATGATCCATTAATTTTGATGGTGTTTGGATCAAGCCCTAAATAGTGGCATGTTCTTCTAAATAAAATTTTTCTTGGTGAAGCAACATTACCAAAAAAGGAGCAATCGGATGTAGAGCTTCCTTTACAAAGAATAGACAAATTGGGCGCCTATACACATGCATCAAGGCTATTCCGACATGCTGTATTTACAGTGCAATGGAGCATACTCAATTAACCAAGTCAGCTGGAGCATAGTAATTACAGAGCTCCAGCACACTTGAGAGTCACGAGTATCAGCATCCCCAAACTGAAAAATGGTGGCGGGGGTACTTTAACTGAAGCTCGCTCAACGAGCTTTAGTTAAAGCGCCCCCACCACCATTTTTCAGCACAGGGATGCTGATACATGTGACACTCCAGGTGCTTTAATTACAGTGGCTCTTGGAGCCAATCTAATTAGAGTCCCTGCACCCCACTCTTGGAGCATGTCTTTAGTAATCAAGTGACTTTTATTTTTAAGAAACTAGACTGAAAATCTCAGGATGATTTTTTTTTCCCTTTATACAACTGTCACCAAGACTTCAAACAATCCATAAAGCTTTCAGCCCAGAGATGGCTATTATAATATTGAAAAAAAAAATAGCAAACAGGAAAGGAAACAAATCTAATTAGGAAAATAAGCTTTAGTACTTATTAGTTTCCAAGTGTGGCATTATTATACTTGAATCACTCTGGTTTATAATAATACATTCTCCTTCACAAAATAATGCATTACATTCTTTATTTGATCGTCAGCCTACTGGGAAAAACCTTTTAATGTTCGACTGACTCGGGAAGATGCCTTTTTTGCGGATGAGAACACAACAATTAAAGTGAATATGATGACCCGAGATAGTTGGTATAAAATTCACAATGATAAGGAGCTGTCTTGTAAAGTGGTACAAATTCCTTACAGTGGAGATGCCGTAGCACTATTTATCCTGCCCGATGAAGGAAAAATGAAGCAGGTAGAAGATGCTCTTGTAAAAGAAACAATTTCTAAATGGGAAGCAGCACTTAAAGGAAGGTAACTGTTAGCTTCTGCTTTGATTTCCTATTGTTTATACAGGAATCCACATTTGGGACAAAATTATTATTAATAATACCATACAAATATTGTAATATAGCCCTCTGTAAAACAGGGATAATCAGGGACAGTTTAGTTTCTCCTTACTGTGGTGTAAAAGTGTGCATATATGCAGTTGCCAGAGAACAGATGAGAAATGGTGAAGTCCTTTTTCCATAATCACCATGATAAATTATTGCCATACCCACACCATTTCTGAGAGGGGTCTTCTAATTGATTTTGAGCTCTAATATTGACACTGACAGAATAACTACTTTAAAATGGAGTTCATGGTATTTACCTACTTCATAAAGACAGTAAGATGGAAGTCACTGATACTTGTAAAGCAATGGTCACCAACCAGGGGATCCCGATCTACAGTTAGAGGCTGGAGCCTCTTTTGGTAGATCCTGGGCTGGGGGGACAGCTGGGCGCATACGCATGCACACACCCACCATCCACAGCCCCATCAGGTCAATCTGTGGGGGAGGGAAGGGACGGGGGCCAGACTGAGGCCTCAGTGGTGAGTGGCTGACTGTGCGACCCAGCCAGAATCAGGGGAAGGTAAGTGGGGCCCCACCCTAGCCAGGTGGTGGGAGGATTGGGGTCTCCTCCAGGGGTGCAGGGGGCTCCCTCCCCCATCTCTGCTCAGTTCAGCAGCGGGGACTCATGTGGGGGTGGCCCTGGCCTAGCCAGATCTGAGAAGATCTGGTCATCCAGGGGCACATGGGGGGATACTCCCGCCACTGGGTACAGCCTGGCGGAGGCACTGGGGGCCTATACCTCGCCACCTGTGTTTGGGGTGGAGTAGGCAGTCCCAGGATCTATGGTGCCCCCACTCACCTGCCCCACCCTGCCCCCCACCCCATGCACCCCTGGACCGTGGAGTCTTTTAGACCCAGCTAGGCTGGGGCCCGATCCCACTTCTGTGCCATAGCTGCGCTGAGCCATGTGCCCGGCAGTCAGATGAATGTGACACTGGGCCCCGGCCCAGCCAGGTCTAGAAGTCTCCACAGTCCAGAGGCACGAGGTTGGGGGGCTGGGGGGGGGCATGGGCCCCTGGGGCCTCCACCAAGCTGCACCTAGCAGTGGAAGCCCACCACTGCTAGGTGCAGTATCTACCATATCAGTAGAGTAATTCCTGACTTTCCTGGGTCTTTGTGAGATATTACAAGGGGAATAAATAACACAACAGTCCCTTACAGTATAGCAGAAGGTAGGACAGGGTGGTAAACTTAGGCACTAAGTAGTATGGAGAAGGAAGAGCTCTCTAAGGATATACAATATAGAGGAATTTAAAAACAAAAGAAAAGGACATTGGGAGGGACACTGCTCAGAAAGGCATAAAGTGGACTGAAAAGATCAATTTTGCATTCAAGTTTTTTTTTACGTTTTTTTTTATTTACTAAGGTCCAGGACAGTTAAAGTGTCCAGGGTTTTTGTGCATTGCTAAAAATGGTTATCAAATTGTTGTCCATTCCTTCTTTTGCATGGGGATTATCCCATGTAGCCAATACAGACAACAGAGGGGCAATGCAAGCAGATGATAGCATATGTGATATTGGTAGAGAAGCAATGGATCCTGGATGTTATAGGTGGTTTGGACCAATGATGCATAGTCTGTGTTGATGAGGGGGCACAGCTGGCATCTGGGTCTGTAGCAGGGTCTGTTAAGTTGGTAAGAGTCGGAGTTCAGCAGTATGTTACTGGAGAGACATTGTTACAGGCTGGGGGTTACCAGTGAGCCAGGATGCAGTGTTGAGATCTATAGCAGGGATGGGCAAAATGCAACCCGGGAGACAGATGCGGCCCACCAGGTCATTTTATCAAGCCCATGGGGCCCCTAAAAAATTTAGAAAATTAATATTTATCCGCCCTGGGCTCCCTGTCACGCGGCCCTCGATGGCTTGCCAAAACTCAGTAAGTGGTCCCTGATCTATAGCAAAACATAGTTTAGTTCTTAGTACTGCAAGAAATAGGTGGGCAAACCCAGGAGAATCAGAGAAACCAAAAAATATATAGTAATTGGAAAAAATAGTTTGAAGGGGAATGTATAATTTGTATAGTGTATCCAGAGGATGACTTAAATTGACAGAATTTGTGTATGAAGATTTTCATGGGAATTTATTTATCAGGCTGGGCCCAGATTTGACTGCCTCATCTTTTTTCATGTTCCTGATGTCAACATGTTTTGCCCACATCCAAGGATCTTTTGTTCTGAACAAGAAGGGCCCAGGGCTTTGAAAAGTCAGTAGGTAACATTGAGAGGGTAGTTATCACCAAGCAGACATAGGAAATGCTTAGTGATCATGCACCATTGAAGTCAGGGCAAGCTTTGCCATTGATTTCAATGGCTGCAAGACAAAGTTCATAATGGACTGTAACTAAGGTTGACAGGTATGTTACTACGCAAAGGAAAATGCAACCTGAATGTCATGGCATAATACTTTATCTAACAATGAGCAATATTGAACCATTCAAGAGTCTCCCCAAGGACATAGTAGAATTAAAAGTATTTGACCTGGATTGGATTAAGAGCTTAATGGGCATTAACCTGCATTGTCACAGACCAATCCAGGGGAAACAGAAAAGATGGCCGAAGGCATTTTGCCATATCAATTTTCTTTGTTTCATTGCCATGAAGTGTGATAGACTGGAAATAATATACTCCCCATGGAACAGAAACGATGTTCTGGGAGGGAAGAAGGATTTCCTCAACTGCACCTCAGCACAGAGGAGACTGAGTAAATGAATTGGGGGAAAAAAAATCATTTGTTCCATAAATGCTTGGTCTTCAATCCATCGTATTGTTCAAAATGGAGAAAATACAGAAGTTACCATCATTTGTTTAGCAAATGTAGAGGCTGAGCAGATAAGCAGGGAATAGGCAGTTATACTTTTCCCTTCATTATCCTGGAGTTGTTCCAAAGAGACTATATTCAGGCCAATGGTAGAAGTGGCCTCACTTACGTGGCTGGCCAAGGGGAAGGGAGAAGACAACCTCAGCATCAAAAATCCTTGCATCCCAGGCTCAGCACCTCTGGGACTACCAGGTTTCTCAGTGCCCTGCTCTGAAGAGAATTTGCACTAAGACATGTTCCTTTCTATAAAAGGGATCTCTGGTAGGGCCCTCCCAAGTCAGCCTCACATTTCTCAGGAAAGGTCCAGCTGAGAAGGTTTTGTTTAGTGACAGTTAGTTGGGGCTGGATTTGCTGCCCAAAAAAAATCACCTACATTAAGTGATTCCTGAGGAGCCACAAGAGCTTTTTCAGCCACCACGTTCTTGTGGGCATGCTTGGGCGTTGTCTGACTGCAGTACGTTCCCATCACTTTGTGTTGTATTCAACAGAAGAGTCATTCTGCACGTTCCAAGAGTGTCTGTTTCAGGCACCTATGACCTAAGTGAGATCTTCAAACGCCTGGGCATGACCGATGTATTCAGTGACCATGGAGATTTGTCTGGAATCACTGGAAAACCTGAGCTGAAGGTTTCCAAAGTAAGTTTGTAATCAGAATCGTTGACCAGAGGATTTCTCTGCAAGTAAATAGCAATGGCTTTGGACAGTGTATGAGAATGCTCTTTACAACTTGCAGTGGATTCACAGTTTCTCTTATGGTATTTTTTTAATGACCCCCACCAAACGAGACATCGAGAGCAAACTGGTAGTCCTCTTATATCTGGCTACCTAAACCACCCATGAACCCTTGTAATAGCCAAGGACCATAATCCATAAAAGGCACTTTGACCTAATGGCACAGGATGGAAGGAGGTGTAGAAACTTCGACAGATGCTGTACACCAGCTGGAATTCTCCAATCAGATGTGTAACCGACCATTATGACTGCCTTGCTGCACTAGAGTTGGCATGCAAAGAGATCTTTTTTTTTTTCTTTAAAAATATATTCCAGCATTTTAAATGCCCTGATCCTGCCCTCATTGAAATCACTGTCAAGATTCCCAGGTTTATGGATTTAGGCAGGATCAGATATGAGAAAAATAATCTGTCTTGAATGAAGCAATATTTACACCTTCCTGATAGCAATCACTCATTTGGTGGCAATCCTGTAGTAACTTTGTAATGGTTTTACAAATATTCTGAGAAGACTCAAATATAAAGAAAGCTATTTTATGTATTTCTGATTACTAAAATACCAGAATTAAACAGAAATAAACTGTATCAATAATCCCCACATTAAATAGACCAAAATTTACTGTGGGTGCCATTTGGACAATACTGCAACTCCAAAAATGTGGGGAAAACCAGCCAATGTTAAAATAAGAACTAGTTACAGTCTGACTAATCTAAGAAGCCCTGTTCCCCCTGACATTGTTTAATTATCATAATTTTTTTTTTTGCTGTAAACTTATACTTCACAATAACAATTAATTAGAGTTTAGTTTCATATTTTGAAATCATTCTTCCACAGTAAGAAATGGTAAATAGGGGAGCACCTGTTCATAAGGTGAGAGCAAGTGTGATCTGAAGAATGAAGCTCAAGCTTCTAAAGTTTTTGTTCCTGTTCCTTCAGTGCTTGCTTAATGCAGCCAGGCTCCTAATGAACATACTAAAAATGCTGTCCGTATTTTCCCCATTTGGTAGATGACTTCTCAGTTCATCTTGTCAAGAGTCCTGGGTTAAAGATACATTTCCATTTACTGCCCCCTGTGCCAAACCTACACCATAACATTTGCTTCCTTTCCTTGCAGGCTGTTCACAAGGCTCTGCTGAACGTCCATGAGAATGGCACTGAGGCTGCAGCAACTACTGTGGTCGAAATAGTTCTTACTTCGCTTCCTCCTACTGTTAAATTCAACAGGCCCTTCTTGTTGTTGATTGTTGATAAACACACGTGCAGCATCCTTTTCATGGGGAAAATTGTAAATCCTACTGAAAATTAACTGTCTAGCTGGTGTACATGATGGTTAAATCCTCAGGTATTTTACATGCCAGTTGGTGTTCATATCTATATCAAAAATTTAATTAACATTAATTCCCAAATAAATGCACTTGAATTTGATAACTCCTAGCCACAGACATTTTGTTATTCCATAAGCCATTAGAAAGCAATTTGTGCAAAATATTATTGCTAACATTAAACTGTGTACTGATTTGGAATTACTATTTTTAAGTGTCAGACAAGGTTCTTTGCGTAAATGTGATATCTTTTATTAAACCAACTATATTTTAAGTGTGACACTAACTTGCCCATCCTTGAAAAAACAGGGTAAATAAATATATCAAATAAACAAACTGAAGTTTGTTGTGTCTGAATAAGATGGAAAGCTGTACTTTGGCAAGCTCTGATAATGTAACGGTCTCAGACGTCAAGCTAATTAACCAAGGGACTATGAACTCACATTTAATGCTAAGCTTAAAGAGTTAATGGGATCATCAGAGATGTTAACAGTGTAATATTGAGGAGGAGGAGGATATTATATCTATATGTTATCGACAGGGATCCGAGTTTTCCGTTTCCCATGGAAAAACAGGGGAAAAGTGGATTTTCCCTTTTAACTGGGAAAAACATTGGTTTTAACAGAGAAACACAGATTTTCCACTTTTGCAAAGAGCTCTCTGCAGGTTGGCACAGTTCCAGCTGGGGTAAGTGGGAGAAGAGCAGTTAGGCACAGGGTGCCATGTGTATGTGATCACGTAAGCATATAAATCATATGGCTGCCAGGCAGCCTGGAGAGCGGCTCCCATAGATAAGTCTGGCAGAGGGGGGAGGAGAACTGGGATTGAGGCCCCCATCAGTAAGAAGGGAAGGAGTTGGGAAGGCCTGGGGATGCTGCCCAGCCGAGGCAGTGCGTGGGGCTTGAGGCCCATGGCTAGAATGCATGGCCGCAGGGCCTGGGCAGGAAGTAGGATGGGGCCATGGACAGCTTGTTCAAGGTGGAGGTTGTTTCCCCACTGCTTTGCACTCTCAGGGAGGTATGGGGGCATGTGCCTCCCAGATTTGTGCACAGGGCAGATGCGGGCTGCCTGTTGCAGGCTCGGGCTCCTACCCCTCCTGCCCTCTCCCTGGGTCCTCTGAAGCCCAGCAAGAGGGACCCGGTGTGGCAGGGTACAGCAGGCCTGGGCAGGGAAGCTCCTTACTGCTGTGAGCCCCACGCCACCCTCGCAATGCAAAGTCTGCCCACCCAGCAGCAGTGAGGTGGTGGTGCAGAGTTGTGTTCATCGCTTCTGCAGGGCAGAGAGGGGGCACCTCACCAGGGCAATATGGAGCTCCCAGCAGCGGCAAGGAACTTCCCCACAGGGACCCACTCTGCCCTGTTGCACTGGTCCTACCCACTGGGCCACAAAGGCCCTAGGGGGAAGGCTACAGGGCAGGGAGCTCAAGCCCACAACGGGCAGCCTTCCCCCACCCCATCATGGGCTCCACTCCAGCTGTGCTGCCCATGCGGGACAGGAACCAGGCTCCGACCTCCACTCTGTTCCACTGCAGCAGCCTGCACTTCCCACAGGTGGCAGCCAGGGCTTGGGCACTGCCGCAGGGGATGTGTAGCTGCGGGTTCCTGGTCCCATAGCCCTGGCAGCTGGGGCCTCCTCTGGCATGACTGGTAGGAATAGGCTGTATTTCATTGCCAGTTAGTCTTTGAAGATGAGCTTAAATTCTTCCAAAATACAGCAAATCCATTTATGCATTCATCATACAGATGAACATATCTGCTACATACAAAGATCTTGTATTTTTAAAATATAAGAATTCTAGACACAACTAGAGACTTTTTGTTACATTGCTAAAATGGTGTTAAGGTTCCTGTTGTTTATCAAGTAGATTGTGACTGAAGAGGATATGAAATAGCAGATTTTTTTTACTGAATGCTTTAAAGATAGGATAAGAATTTCAGTACAGCTTCCACTTCCCTCTGGGTGAAGGGACAGCTGTAGGAATTGTTTCATCCCCATTACAACTTGTGTTCCAACCTAAAGGAACTTGTAGATTGTTACCAGATCTCTGATTGGAGACCAAATCTCTGAATCCAAATTGAATCAGGAGACCAATTAAAAGCTCCAAATCGATTTGAAGCATCCGAATCCAGGTGGGATGTGGGCGCGGCTCACTCGGGGTGGAAGGGGGCAAGCAGCAGCAAGGCACAGTCCCTGCTCACAGAGCTGCTGCCCCTGCATCCCATGCCCCCTGTGCCAGCTGGCAAGTGGTGGCATGGCAGAGACCCCACTCCCAGTGCTGACGCAGTCGCAGCAGCACCGGGAGTGGGGGCTGTGCCCTGCTGCCACCCGGAGCAAGCTGCACCTGCATCACACCCTCCCCGCGTTGGCTGGGCAAGCAGCAACAGGTCAGGGCCTCTGTAGGAGCCACAGGAGAAGCCCCCATGGCCACTCTGCTCAGCCCCATCCCCCATGCAGCCCCAGCCTCCCAGCTCTTTTAAAAAAAAAAAGCCCCACACTCCTGCTCTGGCAGTGGCAACTGGAGCCTCTGAGGGCTCGTGGCAGAGCACCCGCACACAGCACAGGGCAGTGGGGATCACCCCCCCCGGTCTCGCACCCATGCGGCAGTGGCCCCATGGCACAGGTGCAGCGTGGCTTGGCAGAGCGCCACATGCTGTCTTGAAACTCAGGCAGCTCCAGCAGTCAGCTGGAGCCCAGCAGCACTCATCCCCAGTGGCCCCAGCTCCTAGGCAGCATGTGGCAACCTGCTGAGCCGCATTGCACCCGTACAATTCGATAGTTGCCGCACGGGTGCCAGGTTGGGGGGGGGGAAGGGAAGATCCCTGCTGCCCCCCCCCAGCTCTGTGCTGTGCAGGGGGGGCTCTGCCATGAGCGGCCAGAGGCCCCGATCACTGCTGCTGCAGCCAGTGAGTGCAGGGCTTTTTTTTTTCCCTTAAAGCTCCGCACTCACTGGCTGCAGCAACATCAATTGGGGCCTCTGAGGGTTCATAGCAGAATCCCACATGCAGCACAGGGCAGTGGGCACAGCAGGGATCACACACCCCCCCCCCCGCTTGGCACCTGCATGGCAGCTGTTGCATCATGGCTCGGCAGGGTGCCGTGCACTCTCTGGGAGTTGGGGTGGCTCCACCTGTCACCCAGAGCCTAGGACCACTCAACCCACTAGCCCCAGCTCCCAGACAGCGCAGAACACCCTGCCAAGCCACGCTGTATCTGCACCATGGGGAAATTGCCATGTGGGTGCCAGTCGGGGGGGACGATCCCCGCTGCCCCTGCTGCCCTGCACTGCACCTGGGGGCTCTGCCATGAGCACCCTGAGGCCCCAATTGCCACTGCTGCAGCCGGTGAGTAGACTGGGACTAGGTAAGTGAGTAGGCTGGGGCTGGGCAGGGTAGCCATGGGGGTTTCTCCCATGGCTCCCCCCACCCAGGGAGAGGCAAGCACAGCTGAAGGAGCCACGGGAGAACCTGCAGCCACCCAGCTGTGCCTGCCTCTCCCCAGCTGATCCGAATCACCAAATCTCACCAAATCTTCTGAAGCCGATTTGGCTGAGCGGATTCAGGACAATGATCCAAATCTCCAAATCTAATCACTATACTCCGAATCGGCCAAATCCGAATCTAATACTTCCCTGTTTGCACAAGCCTAGTTGTTACAGTAGTCTCTGTATATCCCACCCCTAACCAGTTGGAGTTTGCAACTTAAAGTTAACTGTAGTAATTTCCAGGTATGCAGGCAGCTTGGCCAGCCTGTCTATCCACTCTTACTCCACTGGTGTGTGCACAAGCATGCACAGATACACACACACACACACAAACAGCAGAAAATAGGAGTCAACCCTTAGGCAGCACTCTGGACCGTCTTCTATTGCTTTCTCATAATATGCTTGTTATAGCAACCTCTTTATCCAAAGAGAAAATGGCATTTGTTGCAGAGACAAATGTCAGTATTTTCTTGTGGGGAAAGATGCCATGAAAAGTATTATAAATCAAAGAGCTCAAATGGTAAGAAGCTGTGGGTGTCATACAGTAAATATTCCTAGAAAAATAGTGTGTGGTGGAAGTATGGCACTGCAAGAATCAGTCTGAGCATACCCAGAAGGAATTTCCAGTTGTGACAGAACAGCAACAGGGCTCATGATCAGCCCCTTGAGCACCCCGAGGCCCCAATTGCCGCTGCTCATGATCAGCCCCTTGTAGGGTCAGTGCTAAGACTGCTACCCCCTGACTGTCAGAAGTTCTCTTCCCGAGTTCCCGCACATAATGGAAAGAGTTGTTTGCAGGCCACAAGCCTCATTAATACCAGAAGTGGAAAGCTCAGCGTGCTGGAAGACCCAGTGACAGAAGACAGGCGTTGAAGCTACAAAGCCTGTGACAGTGAGAGGAGCTCTACCTCCCTCCCTCCCTCAGCTGCCAGGTTCCAAAGGAGGGCCACAAGAAGAACTACATAATGCACAGCCTGTGGTCTGGAGATTTAAATACCGTGTAATGAAGTTGGAGAGATGTAGTGAATGTGATGGACTAAAATATGGGAGATCTGTTACTCATGGTTTGTGCCACGTAAAATTTCCTTTCTCTATACAAAAGAAGTAAAGGAAAGTTTTGTTGCTGTTCAGAGATAAAATAGTATCATATTTCATGACTCCTTCACTTAAAAGGATCTGGCTTATGTATTATGTATGGGAATGGACTTAGACTAGCAGAGCTGGGAGATGTCTTACTGCAAAATTTCATAGATTTCATAGACATTAGGGCTGGAAGGGACCTCGGAAGATCATCAAGTCCAGTTCCCTGCCCCAGGGCAGGAAGTCAGGGGTGGTCATAGGATCCCAGCAAGATAAACATGCAAATGTCTCTTGAAGGAGTTTGAAGTAGGTGCTTGAACCACCTTTGGCAGCAGTCTATTCCAGACCTTGGGGGCTCGGACAGTAAAGAAGTTCTTCCTTATGTCCAGCCTGAAACGGTTCTGAAGGAGTTTGTGACCATTTGACCTAGTCATCATCCCTTGGGGCGCTCTGATGAACAGGCGTTCCCCCAGATCCTGGTGAGCACCCCAATAAACTTATAAGCGGTCACCAGATCACCCCTTATCCTGCGCTTTTCCAGGCTGAAGAGTCCCACGGCTCTCAGCCTCCATCATAAGGTCTGTTTTCCTGACCTCTGATCATGTGCGTGGCTCTCCTCTGGACTCTCTCAAGCTTCTCTACATCCTTTTTGAATTGTGGAGCCCAAAACTGGATGCAGTACTCCAGCTGCAGCCTCAC